AAATGAATTGCTTTTCTAGCAATTCATTTCTAGCTAAAGTCAATTATCAAAGCCAAATTAAGTATTTTTAAAACAGAAAGTAACATCTTAGTTTGATTAAGCTTTTAAAACTGAGGCCAGTAATAAATATGCCTTTACTTATTTTTGTGTTTACTAAGGACCTTCTTGAAAAGGAAGTACATTGTTTGAAATATTACATTTATATAGCTTTATAACCTCTTCATGAGGGAGGAAAGCAATAAGAAAACATAATAAAAAGTTAAGTTGGAAATGAAGGATATTGTATACAACTAGTAGAGAAGCTAAGAAAATATTAGGTTATAGCATACGACTTGCTATTTTATTATAAATGTTCTATTAACAGGGGAAAACTTAGAAAGAAAATGCTGAAATTAATTTAAAAACATTTCCTAAAATTAAAATAATCCTCTCCAAATGTTGGTATTTCACTTCTAAAGATCCACAGAATGTTACTTCTTTATATCATAATAAACGTACCCACCATTTATCTTTGCAAGACAGCTAATCATACATGTTCTGTATCTTATCGTCTAAGACTTTCTCCCCAAAGCTCAAAAAGACATCAATGTGTGTTCCCTCCATCTTAATTCATAAGAGTTTATTTCAGCATCAGTCTCACTTGGGAAACTCTAAGTACAAAAACTTTATGTTGTGTTATATCCTCTCTTGTATCCTCTAAAATTCTGGAGTAATTTTGTAATTAAATTACACTTTAAGTAATCACACTTCTGGATTTTACCCTCCAAGTATCAGCCACCCTTCAGAACTCCATGTTCCCTCCTCAGATGGCTACAGCATAACTCAAAGGCCAATTTAACATTAATGAAAATATTCTATTACTTTCTAAAAACATTCTTTGAGATATAGCCCTGTACAAAAAATTTTGTAAGCCACTTAATTTGCATTTGTATTTTAAATGTTCACATGCATTTCTGAGAGTTCATTTTAATCTGTATATATTTTTTACCACTTTTCCCTTTTTTATTTTTTGTCGTGTCAAATTACTAACTTGAACAAAACTTACAAGATTTGTTATAGCCTGTGTATTATTAAAATGAATATTAGAGCCCTGGCTCATGTGGCTCAGTGGGTTAAGCGCTGGCCGGTGCACTGAAAGGTCTCTGATTCAATTCCCCATCAGGGCACACACCAGTGTTTTAGTATTGAAGACAGTCTAGCCAATCCAACTATATTACCTCTTTATCTTTTAGTCCCAGGAGCAATACTTCTTCCATAAGGGTGAGGCGGATATCCTTAGAGTCTCCAGAGTCTTCACTGTCTGGACTCCTGTCTTGACTAGTGTCTTCCTCACTTTCTCCCTTCTTCTCAGAGTTCTTGCCTACTTCCGTGCGACGGGTGCGGTGAGTTAAAGTGGTCATTCTGAACTGCTTCTGGAAGGATGAAGAAAAATATCTGTATGTGTGCTTGTGGAAATAAACACATATAGCTACTCCTACACAACACAGAATCTTTCCAAAGTACATACCTTAATACACAGAAGGCACTGACAGGAAATCAAATTAGGGATTTTAAAGACCAGTAGAAATGATCATTTTTTTTAAATGTTGATTTTCTTGTACATAATCTATAACCCAGGAGTGACTATCATTGTGAGTCCTCTTCCCCAAAATGGGTCTTCCTCAAGTTAAATAATACTGGACAGCAGAAAATTTTGAGCACCCAGTCCTAAAGTGCATATAATTTATATAGAACTTCTATAAACATTCCATGGTACATTATAAAACATACACATACAATAAAGTCAAAAATAAAAAAAAACTAAGTAGAAATACATGTTCTAATATTTTCTTCCCAAACCCTAGTGACTCAGTTCATGCATTCAAGACATCACTAGTTTAGAGTATAATGCTTAAAAACATCATGTGCAGTAATTCCATATAGCCAGAAAACTTTTATCTCTATCTCTAGGCTAGCCATCTCACAAAAAAAAACAGCTGTCAGCAAAAAATACTAGCAAAAGAATGTTAAAAGATTAGCAAATTCCTTCTCAATTACAAAATAAAAAATAAAAGCAAAGCACATGCCCTTTCATACCAAGCACTACAGTTGTTTTAAAAATCAAGTCAAGAGAAATTGCACTGTCATCTATGATAAACTTTATGTCAGTTTATTTTGAGATAAATCTAAATGCCAGTTAATATACAATAACTATTTTAATCAGCAATTACTGAAGAATATATTCTGCAACATCAACAGAATGCATTCAAGAACCTCTGTGACAGGATCCAGTTCTATGTTCTCACAATTATTTCCCATTACTTCCAATTACGGACTGTGAACAAACCATTTCTCAAACGTGCCACGCCTTTCACCTCTGCTGCTCTGTACATGCTGGACTTCTTTCTTTCCCTTACTCTTTAAATTCTACCCATTCTTCAAAGGACTACTGAGAACCTACTGTCAAGGCTTAAGTGAATCTCATTCTCCATTACCCATGTCCCATGGCCAGAAATTGGTCTCTCCCCCAGCTGTACTTCCACAAAACTTTATTTATACTTATTTACTATAGTCTCTCTTTTGATATGGCTGTCTCTCAACTGTTACCTTCCTGAGGGCAGGGATTTTGTCTTCTTGGGTTTTTTTTTTTAATTCTCCGTAGCAACTAACACGATGCCTTTAACGTTGTAACTGCTCAATAAATATATACAGATTAAAATGAACTCTCAGAAATGCATGTGAACATTTAAGATACAAATGCAAATTAAGTGGCTTACAAAATTCTTTGTACAGGGCTATATCTCAAATATAACCCTTGATGGGAGGTGGAAAGTTGAGTGAAGGACGAAGAGGACCGCGAAATAAATAAAATGGTTAAGGGCACTAACCCTACCTGGCACTGTGAATAGGACTTATTTCCTAACCCATTACAAGAAACTTTAAATTTTCAGGGGGGAAAAGTAAAGGGAATTTTCTTTGAGAAATGAATTTCCCCCGAAGATATACTAAATATCCTATTTGAAAAAAAAGTCCCCCAAATTAAATAAATAAAAACCTCCCTTCTCGCCATAAAATTTTTTAAAAATTGCTTTTTTTGGACGTTAGGAAATGTATTTCCCGGGTTGCTTACCTGACGTTACTCCTAGGTTACGACCGGACGGAGGCTGCAGCTTGCGCTCTACTTTAGAACATCTGTGTCCCACTCCTGGCCCCCCCAACCCCGTCCTAGTAGGTTAAAAACTTCCCAGCCACGAAGAGAGCACAAACTTCCTGATCCTTCGCTGCAGAGAAGAAATAACACATCAGCTTCCTCGGGATCACTAGGCAACCTACCTTGGCGTTTCTTCATTGGACCAATAAGAAACCGCCAAGGTTGGGTCCAGCCAATTGGAGCTTATGAGGGGAGGCTCACCCCGGCTATTGTGTTGCGATCCAGACAAACATCACAAAAAGGAGGCAGGTTTGGGTTCAACCTGACAGCTGGTCAATCCAATGAAGGAACCTTGGTAGAAGAGCGGAAAGAAGGCTGCGCTCCCCAACTCCATAAAACCGGCCAATCCAAGCGTTCAGTAAGCTAGCTGCAGCTGCCCATCTGCAGAGGTTTCTGTTGGTCAGTCTCGGTGTGGCAGGTGTGTTACTGTAGCAGTGTATACTGGGACAATTAGGTGAGATGTGTCGGGATACAATAAAGCTAATAATAAGTAAACGTTTTAAAATAATTGTTTTTGACAATTAGGTTTATTCCTAACTATCCTGTTCCAGAAAACCCTGATGTGGGTCAGTTTGTGGATGTTCACTTGATTTACATTAAACAGGATGGGTACATTTCTACCAATGAATGCATACCAACATTCTCTATTAGCACTTTGTTACTGGCAAATCCATGTATAATGCATGTTTTTATTTATTTTTAAAGATTTTATTTATTTTTTAGAGAGAAGGGAAGGGAGGGAGGAAGAGGAGAGAAACATCAACACGTAGTTGCCTCTCCTGCCCCACAACTGGGGACCTCGCCTGCAACCCAGGCATGTTCCCTGACTGGGAATTGAACCCACAATCTTTTGGTTCATAGGCTGGCACTCAGTCCACTGAGCTACATCAGCCGGGGCTCATGCATGTTTTTAGAATATGTCAGCTGATGCCTCAAGAGGCAAGCAAACCAAGTTTTAAGTCTTCCTAAAGCAAAGGAAATGGTCAAGGCTGGAACCACGTCCTAGGCGTCTCACTAAAGGCACAGGACCTTTCACACTGCCGCTCCAAAGTTCTAGGAAGTGTGCTCAACTCTTGCAAAGTAACATCTACTGAAATGATCTCACAATTAGTGCCCTGGGGAGAGGGGAGTATAGGGGACTAAATGGTAATGAAAAAAAATAAGAAAATTAGTGCCCCAACACTTTCTGCTAATTATATAAAAATTGGAAGTCATGAAAGAGTCTAGATGCTGAACAATGTTTTATTTATGCTCTGCAAAATGCCAGACTAAAAATCAGTCATCATTTCATCTTATAGTAAAAAGAAATTTTTAAAGGTAAAGCACCAATGTTTACTTGTACATTATATATTATGATTGCAATACACCACCCAAAGGACTGAAAGAATCTTGTTTTAATAACACAATTGCAAACAGCCAGTTAAATGGTATAGTTTTAACATAAGTAAAAAATGAATTCCTTACAAAATAAACTATCAAAATAAACATTATTTGTTTCAAAAATGGCTTTAGAGGGCCTTAAAATTAATATATGTTTAAAGGAAGTGTCCACCAAAATGGAAGATGGATCAGTTTTGAGTAAATAATGAACAGAATTTATTAAGACACTGGTACTTTTGGTTTTATTCAAAAGTTCTCTTGGATCTGTCTTAGATAAGATTAAAGATCACAATATGATATTCATTTTAGTTTACTAGCTGCTTAAAACTACATATAAGTTTTCAGAAGTAGGGTAAACACATCTTAAAACAGTAATATAGTACCCTTTTAATGTTGAGATGAACTTTGCAAACATACAGAAGAAAAATGTTTATATATGTTCCTTTGGTTCACTAAACTTTCTTCTCTTTGGCACTGACTCTTGACAAGCAGAATCAAAGTGATGAAGAACCTATCAAAAGAAAACAACTATTAAGAATACATAGTTTCCAGTTTAAATGTCTTTCATTTTAGATATTTTCATGTCTCTGAGGTTTCTTCTTTTTTAAAATATAGCTAGCATACCAATTTCCTACTAAGATAGTTACCTGGGTTCTTTAAAATAGGCTAAATTTTATTACTGACATGTTTAAATCATCTGATGGCTGCTGAAAGTATACACCTGCAAAGTATCAAGTCTTCATTAGGGTTGCTGGAGTAGATAGAGTTAACATTATGCCCTCAAAACAGTAAAATATTTGGGGGGGGGATGAGAGGGTACAAAGATATTAAAATGAGCTGCAAATAGAGAAACCGTTTACCTTGGCACGATGTAAGATTTAAACCATGTTTTGTTTTTGTATCCCTGGTACTTACTTAGCAGTACCTAATATATAGTTGACATTCAATGCACAGTTTTGAAAGAGTGGGAGGCCAAACTAAGAAAATTCCTAATAAGATTCCCTGAGTTATTGAACTTTGATTTTTATGGAAGAAACTTACCTAAGTTTCTTTTTATCTAAGAAACTTACTAAAGATACAAATTGAATTATGATTTTGCAGAAAAAAATCAAGTATTTTCCCAATGTATTTTTCCTTAATATATTGGGAAAAATTAAGGAATGTAATATATTAATGAAATGTCAGATCATTCCATTGCCTTTTTAAGATTTGTAAATTGATGATAGTATTAACCAACAATGTTTCTGAGATTACCCCTTTAACATTTGATTTTTAAAAACAGTTTTGAGTTTTGCCCTGGCTCGTGTAGCTCAGTGGATTGAGCATTGGCCTGTGAACCAAAGGATCGAGGTTCGATTCCCAGTCAGGGCACGTGCCTGGGTTGCAGGCCAGTTCCTAGCAGGGGCCAGTCCCCAGCAGGGGATGCACGAGAAGCAACCATACATTGATATTTCTATCCTTCTCTCCTTCCCTTCCCCTCTAAAGATAAATAAATTTAATTTAAAAAAAAGTTTTGAGTTTTTAGTGGTTTAATTTTAACCTCTTACTACTAATAAAAATCCTAGTTGAAAAAGTACAAATGTTTATCTCAGAAATGACAAATACATTATCTCATTTAGTAAAATAAGGTTCCAAATAAAAACAACTATTCCAGGATTTAGGTCAGGAGAGATTTTTTTCTCCTAAGGCCTTAGGAGGAAATTATATATATATATATTATATATATATATATATATATAATATATATATATATAATATATATATATATATATAATTTTTTTTACTTTTTAAAATTTTATTGATTATGCCATTACATTTGTTCTATTTCCCCCCTCTGTTCCCCTCCACCCTGCACACCCCTCCCCCACCATTCCCCTCCTTTACTTCGTGGCCACATGTCTGAAGTTCTTTAGATTCTGTATTTCCGCTACTATTCTTACCCTCCCCCTATTTTCTATCTACTGTCTATGCTACTTATTTTCTGTACCTTCTCCCCCCTTCTCCATCTCCCACTCCCCTGTTGCTAACCCCCCATGTGATCTTCATTTCTATGGTTTACTCCTGATCTAGCTGTCCTTTTAATTTGCTTTTGTTTTAGGTGTGGTTGTTGATAACTGTGAGTTTGCTGTCCTTTCACTGTTCATCTTTTTTATTTTCTTTTTCTTAGGTAAGTCCCTTTAACATTTCATATAATAAGGGCTTGGTGATGATGAACTCCTTGAATTTGATCTTATCTGAGAAGTACTTTATCTGTCCTTCCATTCTAAATGAAAACTTTGCTGGATAGAGCAATCTTGGTTGTAGGTCTTTGGATTTCATGACTTGGAATACTTCTTTCCAGCCCCTTCTTGCCTGGAAGGTCTCTTTTGAGAAATCCACTGACAGTCTGATGGAACTCCTTTGTAGGTGACTGTCCCCTTATCTCTTGCTGCTTCTAGAATTCTCTCCTTCATTTTAATCTTGGCTAATGTAATGATGATGTGCCTTGGTGTGTTCCTTCTTGGGTCCAACTTCTTTGGGACTCTCTGAGCTTCCTGGATTTCCTGGAAGTCTATTTCCTTTGCCGGAATGGGGAAGTTCTCTTTTATTATTTGTTCAAATAAGGTTTCCACTGGTAACTGTTCCTCTTCTCCTTCTGGTACCCCTATAATTTGGATGTTGGAACGTTTAAAGATGTCCTGAAGGTTCCTAAGCTTCTCCTCGTTTTTCTGAATTCTTGTTTCTTCATCCTTTTCTGTTTGGTCATTTTTTCCTTCCTTCTAGTCTACTCCCTTGATTTGAGTCCCAATTTCCTTTCCATTACTATTGGTTTCCTGTGCATTACCATTCATTTCACTTAGTGTAGCCTTCATTTTTTTCATGTAATTTGTGACTAAAATCAACCGGTTCTGTGAGCATCCTGATCACCAGTGTTTTGAACTGTGCATCTGAAAGTTTGGCTATTTCTTCATCGCTTAGATTTATCGGCTCTGGGGCTCTGAGTTGTTCTTGAGCCATGTTTTGATCTGTTTGTGCCTGTTAGGTATGAGGAGCGGAGCCTTAGGTGTTCACCAGGGCGGGGCCACCCAGGTTGCTGGTTTGTGACGCTGTATGTGGGGGTGGGGTCAGAGAGGGAGCAATGGCGGTCCTCTCCGCTCGCCCCCTGCCTGTTTATCTGAGCATAAATATGTGAGCCCGCCGCCCTGCACCACGTGGTCTCAATGCTCTCCTCTTCACTGGTTTATCTGTGTGCAAATGCTCGACTGACTGCAGACAGCCAGCTGCGCCTCTTTCCTGTGTGTGCCCGTAGCTAGCCCGCACCTAGGATCCTCGCCCTCAGCTGCCTGTGCACTGCCCAGGTCAGGGGAATCTTCCCTGCCTGACCTGCTCCACTGCTGGCTTCGCCCCTCTCACTGGTTTAGCTGAGCATTTTGTTGTTTACGGACTCCATATTGTCGATTTTCTGTGTGGTTTGGTTATGTTTATTGTTGTTAAAATTTTATTGTTTTTAGGTTTGGTTGTGCAAGGACGCAAAGTGTTTCCACCTACGCCTCCATCTTGGCGGAAGTCCCGAAATACTATATTTTTAATAGCATTTGTGAATTTAGTAACTTATCTGTTTCTACTTTAAATTAAATAATCACTCTATTCAAAATAAGTAAGCCCTCTTTGTTACAGGAAAATAGACATGTAAACTTCTTGACTCATGGCCTCTGAGACAGAAACCACATTCAGAATATGTTCACTTATAAAAGAAAGATTTGTATATTATCAAAACAAATTTAGGGACTTCAATATACATTGTTTCTTTGAAAAACAGACTAAAAGAAATAATTCATGTCAAAGGTTTGGAAAACTAATTTTTCTTCTGGGGCTCACTAAAGCAAGCCCTCCAACTATCCCCAAATCTTCCTGCTGAAAGGCCATGCCCTGAGAAGGAGCCCTTTCTACCCTCCTACTCTAACACTGGCTCTCCGGGGCTGGGCTGAGTCACCACAACTTAGAGAACATCAGCCACATTGCACCTGTTCACCACAAACTAACTTGGCTCATCTCTCCTGCAATGGACAGAACCTTTCCTCAGCAACAGAACACTCGAAGTACCACGTTTTCCAGTGTTTTCTAGATTTGCATTGTGCTCAGAGGGCGTTTAGGAAAAGTTTCCATCAGCATGCCCCAGTGCCCATTCATGGCACTTGCTGTTTTAGATGCCACAAAGGCTGATTCCTTGTCTTGCATGCTGCCAAAGTTCCGACTAAACAGCATTACAAACCCATTAGGTTGATGAAGAACTAAGAACCACAAAGTGGTTCAAATCTTCCTCCCCTTACCCCAAATACACAAACACACTAAACGATTCTTTTGATAAATCCAAGTTCCTCAACTGAAAGGTTGAAGCCTTCAGTGATTCTTTTAACTCCAGGGCACACTAATGCTACCAGATGTTTTCACCAGATTTCAATGTGTTGTGGCTCTTCTGTGTTGAGAGCAGTGGGGGAAGGAGGGCATCTTTTGCAGGGGCCTGGGACCTGGCTCTCCTGCCAGCTCCCAACACACATTCTCCAGCATGGTCTTGTAAACCTCTCCCACCACTATTGTCAGCTCAACCATCTTGTGGAACTCATCCTTGTCACCATCATACCTGAAGAACCCCATCACACTGACAGGACCAGCTTTGTTCAAACTGCTCCCCAGAGCTTTGTAGTTGACAGCAAACATGAAAGAAAATGTTCTGTTCACAGGTATAATCAATGATGGTGTGCTGGGTGGGTGTTATCCAACCTACCTTTTGACCGTATCTTCTCCCAGTTAAGAAAGATGATGACACACTTCCACTTTCTATTTTTTTAAATATATTTTGTTGATTATGCTATTTCCCCCCTTCCATTCCCCTCACCCTGCATACCCCCCTCTCACGACATTCCTCCCCTTTAGTTCATGTCCATGTGTCATAAGTTCTTTAGCTTCTACATTTCCCATACTATTCTTGCCCTTCCCATCTATTTTCTATCTACCATCTATGCTACTTATTCTCTGTACCTTTTTCCCCTCTCTCCTCCTCCCAACCCCCTGTTGGTAACCTTCCATGTGATCTCCATTTCTGTGGTTCCATTCTTGTTCTACTTGTTTGCTTAGTTTGCTTTTGCTTTAGGTGTGGTTGTTAATAACTATGAGTTTGCTGTCTTTTTAGTGTTCATATTTTTTATCTTGTTTTTCTTAGATAAGTCCCTTTAACATTTCATATAATAAGGGCTCAGTAATGATGAACTCCTTGAACTTGACCTTATCTGAGAAGCACTTTATCTGCCCTTCCATTCTAAATGAAAGCTTTGCTGGATAGAGCAATTTTGGATGTAGGTCCTTGCCCTTCATGACTTGGAATACTTCTTTCCATCCCCTTCTTGCCCACAAGGTCTCTTTTGAGAAATCAGCTGACAGTCTGAGGGGAACTCCTTTATAGGTGACTGTCCCCTTATCTCTTGCTGCTTCTAGAATTCTCTCCTTCATTTTCATCTTGGCTAATGTAATGAT